ATATAAAAAGCTATATTTTTATTGCAGTATTATTTGTAAGATTGAAATAACAATTTAAATACCTCAAAATAAAGGGATGATTGAGTACATTACTACACACTAGCCACATGGATTATTAAATTGTATTTTAGATGATGTTAGGCTAATCCCCAATAATATGGGGAAATGCTATTTTGTAATATTAAGTGAAATGGCTACAGAACGTTATTTAATTACAAAATTACATTTTATGGCTCCTACCCGGTGCAAAACTCCACATGGGCTAACAAATGGATGTGAGAACTTTTAAATTTTCTCTTCAATCTTTTACAAATTTTATTCAATGTGTATGATAATGCTTTTCAGCACATTTTAAAATGTCATGTTTTTATTCAAACACCTTCAAATGCATCATCCTATCTGTTTTCATGTTGTTATCTACAGAAAAATCCTGTTTTGTAAAGTCTTAAAAAATGTCTTAATGTCACCTATAATAAAAAGCCTAAATTATTTTTTCACGATCATTTTGGCTATAAATATTGGGTCTGTCTTAAGCAGCTACTAAATGGCTGAAACTAGCTAGCAGCCCTAGTCAGCACTGTGAACATCTACAACTTGGTCTCTAGTTCCTTTCAGGAACTATGGCTGCTCAAAGCACCTGTGAATATACCGTGTTGCTAAACCAGCTGGCAGTAGAGGGAATCTTAATGACGGAGCTTCTGGTTTACCTACGATATTTTGGGGACAACGAAAACTAATAGCCGTTCTGCCTCAGTGGGAGCATTTTTTAAAAGGAGTCATTGCTATCTTTCTAACAGAATCCATTCTTAAGGGGGCAAGGATGAGGTCTATTCTATGATGTATTTATTGCCTAGTTTCCCGTTAGATTTTTTAAGTAAATACCCTTTGCAGCCTCTAACCTAGGGTAAGAGTGAACTGATTTATCATTCTCTTAGACACACCAGTCTCCCTTTTCCGCACGTCCCCAAAACTCCCCTTTGCAATTATGATCAATTCTTTGACAGTTAAAACATAGTCTTGACCCTTTGAAACAGTTCTCTCTTTAATCTATTTCAATATAGCATACATTATTTATCTCCTCTTTTCTTAGTTCCCCCAACCCTATGTCAGTTTTGGTTTATAAAAGTGGTATTTATAACAACCCAAAACCAAAAACATAGACATGACCATGTCTACTCACAGATGGCAGAAATTCTAGTAAAAGACAGAATGTATGAGAGAAAAACAGATTTCAGGAGCGTCCACTTAACACTAGCAGTTTTTCCAGAAACAAGGGAGGGGGAGCCAGTATTTCTTAGTTTTGTGGGGTCAAGCTGTTGACTGAAATTCAGCAAAGATCTTGACGCGAGGAATGTGGGATTTATTCTAGGACACGTATCCGGCACGGTCCTTTGTTTTAGGTACAAACTAGTCTTTTCCTAAAGTTTTTCCGCTCGCTCAAAGGAAGGGAAATGAAATATTCGGAGAGTCTTTTGAAGGTGTCTTTACAAGATCTCCCACGGGGAAATATCACGACAGTTTAACATAGGTGTATTTCAGAAAGCCAAATCCGTTTTTTTTTTTTCCAACATGACTGTATACTTTTCAGGACCCCCAAATTTGCGATTTCAGGGGCATCATCATTAATCAGAAGACCAAGTTTTGCGATCCTGTGTTTCAAAGATCAAGTTCAGTTTGAATATCACTTTTTGTTCATTTCATGTGGCTGGAAGTAGCAGCCTTTTTTGTCAGGATCAGAGTGGACTTAGAAGTGGATGTCCCACAGTTGGCAGCAGGTCTGAGGGCCAGGGTCCTTTGCACGCTTTCGATGGCGTGCAGATACTTCTTCCCAAGTCATTCGCGACCTGACGGAGTAGGTTTGACTATGACAAGAATAAAGACTTTCTGTCAGGGACAAGGTGTGGGTGGTGAAAGAGGGTTCCGGCTCACCCGCACCCCCTTGGGTCATCATGGCTCTGAGATCTGCCAAGTGTTTAGCGCAACTATAAACAGCTCCTCGTGGAGGTGTGGAGGGTTGTTTACGCTGCAACGCTCCACAACCACACAGCCAACTCCACTTCACGCTCCAGGCCCGGAGCCACTCCCCCTCGCCCCTCCACTACCCCTCCCACTCCCACTCCCAAACTAAAGACCAACGGGCCACCTTCTGTCAGACCCGCCCATTGGCTCTCATCCCAACCAATTGGGGCCTTGTATAAGTTTCACCTGGCTCCTACTTCCCAAATAAACAAACCGTCCAGGGGCCCGGGCAGCACAGCGCAGGAGATCGAGATGTTCCTTTTGACCAATCGCACCCGCGCGGTGGCGCCCCCGCCCGGCGCGAGGGTGAAGTTGCACGCTCCAACGGCCCAACTCACCCGCTCCCATCCCGCTCGTGTCCTCCTCGTGGAATACTTGTTAAAAACTGTGTGGTCAGGGCGTCCTGCCTCCTCCAAGTTATCAGCTACCTCCTACTCCTCGGCCTGTGGCCCCTGCCCCGAATTCTTCATGAGAGTCTCACCCCTGATAGAGGTGGCCCTTCTACCCAGGTCAGCTACCCTCCTACTTCCTCTTACACCTACATAGCCGGTGGCCTGCGCCCCTCCAGTGAGCTGGTAGCAGCAGCCACAGCGCCCTCCTCGTGAGGCAGCAGTCACGTGTTGTTTTGCCCGCCGCCGCTCAGAGTGAAGTGGGCGGGGGCGCGGGCTCTGGCGGGAGGGGGCTGGGACGGGCGGGAGAAGGGACGGGGTAGACGGCCTCTTCCCCCTCCCTTCCCTAAGCCCCCCTCCTCCCTCTCGCTCACCTTAAAACCACGGTGCATCACCATGGCGAGTAGCTCCTTCGCTCGCGACCAAGCGACAAGGAGTCTGAGAGCAGCAGCAGCAGCTCCACCAGCAGCGGCGACCACCCGGGTTCCTTCTTCCGGAACCCGGACCGCACTCATTGGGACCGGGTTGTCTTGTCCGAGAGCCATGTGGCTCTCGCTGGCCACTGGCTCTCGGCCATGCTCGGACTCCGAGGAAGAAGACTTGCCCGTCGGGGATGAAGTCTGCAAACGCGGCTACCTGCGGAAGCACAAGCATGGGCACCGACGCTACTTCGTGCTTAAACTCGAGACCGCTGACGCCCCGGCGCGGCTGGAATACTATGAAAATGCCAGGAAGTTCCGGCACAGTGTCCTCGCCGCGGAGGCTGCAGTTGCAGCGGCAGCCTCGGGCGCCGCGGTGCCCGCGCTCATCCCACCGCGACGAGTGATCACCCTGTACGAGTGCTTCTCGGTCAGCCAGCGAGCCGACGCCAGGTACCCATACCTCATTGCCCTTTTCACCCAGGACGAGTACTTTGCAATGGTGGCCGAGAACGCGTCGGAGCAGGAGAGCTGGTACTTGCTGCTCAGCCGCCTCATCCTCGAGAGCAAGCGCCGCCACCGCCGCGGCACGCTGGGCGCGCAGCCCGGGCAGCAGGGGGGCGCGCTGGCGGCCGCAGCGGCGGTGGAGCCACCCTTCTACAAAGATGTGTGGCAGGTAGTCATCAAACCCAAGGGGCTGGGGCAGAGAAAAGAGCTGAGCGGCGTGTTCCGGCTTTGCCTGACTGACGAGGAGGTTCTGTTTGTGAGGCTCAACACTGAAGTGGCTAGCCTGGTGGTGCAGCTCCTGAGCATCCGTCGCTGCGGGCACTCGGAGCAGTATTTCTTTTTGGAAGTTGGCCGATCCACTGTCACTGGCCCAGGAGAACTGTGGATGCAGGTCGAGGACTGTGTGGTAGCCAAAAACATGCATGAGCTGTTTCTGGCGAAGATGAGAGCCCTGTGTGCAGATGAATATAGAGTCCGCTGCCGCTTCATTGGCACCCACCTGTTAACCCTGCTGTCCGCTAGGAGGCACATGAACCCGCAGCCCGTCCGGCTCCGTGGCTGGTTCCTAAGGTCCAGGCTTAACTTTCGCAACCTGGGGGCCCTCCGCGACAGGGAAGACCTAAGGCACCTTACCAGGCGTTATATCTCCTACAGCGAACGGATACGCCCCTCCAGGCGAAGAAGAAAACACCTGAGCAGAATGCGCAGGTCCCGGAGAGCACTGTCAGTGCCAGCCAACTGTTTTCGCTACTTAACAGTTGGCCCAATGCTTGCCCCTGCAGCCGCCCCCAACGATGGCGCTTGCCTGTCTTCTGAAGCATCTGGTTCTGGTAACTCTGGGGAGGAAGGCAATCCTCAGGGCAATGAAAGTCAGGAAGGAAATGGAGGCGACTACATGCCCATGAACAACTGGGGGTCAGGAAATGGCCAGGGCTCAGGAGGTGGCCAGGGCTCAAGTGGCCAGGGCTCCAGTAGCCAGGGCTCAGGAGGAAACCAGTGCTCCGGTGGGGGCCAGGGCTCTGGAGGTGGCCAAGGCTCTGGAGGTGGTCAGGGCTCAGGCGGTGGCCAGGGATCTGGAGGTCAGGGTGCAAGAGGAAACCAGTGCTCTGGAAGTGGTCAGGGCACTGCAGGTGGCCAGGGCTCAGGCAGCGGCCAGGGGGCTGGAGGTGGCCAAGGCTCAGGTGGTGGCCAGGGGCCTGGAGGTGGCAAGGACTCTGGAGGTGGCAAGGGATCAGGTAGTGGAAAAGGCTCTGATGGCAGTGATGACCATGGAAAATCCCTGAAGAAAAAATCTTACTTTGGCAAATTAACTCAAAGCAAGCAACAGCAAATGCCACCACCTCCACCCCCACCTCCAGCTCCTGGAGCAACTGGTGGGAAAGGGAAATCTGGAGGCAGGTTCCGACTTTACTTTTGTGCAGACAGAGGAGCCACAAAAGAACGCAAAGAAACTAAAGATGTCAAAGAAGCAGAGACCCCAGAAGGTGCAGCTCGATGCCACCACAGAGCCAGAGCTCTTGATGAGGATGAGGATGACCCATATGTGCCAATGAGGCCAGGGGTTGCAGCCTCTCTGGCATGCTCCAGTGATTATATGCCAATGGCCCCCCAAAATGCCTCTGTTTCAAAACGCCATTCCCGGTCACCCTTTGAAGATTCCAGAGGGTACATGATGATGTTTCCCAGAGTGAGCCCTCCACCTGCACCGAGTCCCCCCAAAACACCTGAGGCTAACAAAGAGGATGCTTCAAAGGACAATGACAGTGAGAGTGATTACATGTTTATGGCTCCTGGAGCTGGTGCAATTCCAAAAAACCCCAGAAATCCTCAAGGTGGCTCTTCTTCTAAAAGTTGGAGCTCCTACTTCTCTCTGCCAAACCCTTTCCGGAGCTCCCAGTTGGGACAGAGTGAACACAGGGAGTATGTGCCAATGCTACCTGGAAAGTTCCTGGGGAGGGGTGCAGGCAAAGAAGCCTCGCTTAACTGGGGCCCCAAAGATGCGCCTTCAGACCAACGGTCATTTTCGAAGCCTGGAGATAGGAGGTCACCCGCAAAGCCCGCAGATGAGGGATCTTCAAAGAACAAGACTAAGAGACCCAGCCGGCTTTTTTTCATTGTAAAAGGACAGAAATTCAAGTCCAAACCAGAAAAGCCCACACATGAGCAGAGAGAAGCTGACAGCTCTAGTGACTACGTCAACATTGACTTCACTAAAAGAGCTAGCAGTGCGCCAGTCCCCTTTACTCAAGGACTGCCAGATTCGTGGGGCATAGTGATTGACCCCAGATGGTCAGCTTGTTCTCATTATGTGAACGTTGAGCTTGGACAGCCACTGCGAAATCCAGCAAACGACCTCATAAATCTTTTACGAGCTATTCCAGGTGCCACTCCCCTATCTCCAGACGGTGCTAGGTGGTCACTTCCTCTTCTGCCTCTCAGTGCCACAGGTGGCAACGCTTATGAAGCGCGCGGCTACATCGAAGTGATTTTCCACCCCGCAATGACACCCGCCGTGCCTTTAGGGGACCGTGCCATTCGCTACGATGCAAAAACGGGTCGAATCTACGTGGTCGACCCGTTCTCTGAGTGCTGCATGGACGTTTCGCTCTCCCCTAGCCGCTGCTCTGAACCGCCACCTGTAGCCAGGCTGCTCCAGGAAGAGGAGGAAGAAAGACGACGCCCCCGAAGCCGATCTCAAGGGGTCTTTACAGGCACCAGAAGCGCTGTCTCTGCTTTTCCAACTGACAGCCTCGACCGACATCTTTCTGCGGGCGCCGGCTCGGGTGCGGGCGCGGCCGCCTCTGGCTCTGCCGCTGCAGCTCCACCTTTAGCGGTGGGTCGCGCCTTAGCTGCAGCCTCTGCCCTGGCAGCAGCCCCAGGCATGGGCGCCTCTGCTTCGGGCTGGGAAGCTGTTTCGGGCTTTGACTCCGCCTCCGCCCACTGGATTCTACCTGTTGATAATGCTGCGGCAGCGGCTGCCGCGGAAGCCATCAGAGGCTTCCAAAGCATCCCTGGTAGCTGGAACCTCGAAGCCCAGTATCCACCAGCGGGCCCTGACAGAGGTGACAATCGGGCAAGGGGGGCTGCAGCCCGCGCACCCCCTCCACCACCTCGCCGCCGCCCAGTGCCCAGGCCTCCGGAGCCAGAAGATGATGATGACGACGACGACAATGACACCTATGTGCGAATGGACTTCGCCAACAAGAAGTTCCACTCTCCCAAAAGAGGTGGGTATTGTGAGGGTTTATTTCCCTAAAAGTTAATGGGCATTGCATTCGTTGTGCTGCTTATCTCTACAGGGTTAGGAATAAGTGAGTTAATGTGTCATTAACTGGTGCTGTTTGGGTTGAATTTAGTTATTGTGCTTCATGCAATAAATACCTTGTGGTCTTTGCAAAAACTTTAAACATAGAGTTTTTTCTCCAGAAAAAAAAGGTGATCAAAACATGGATCTTCTCTGTATGAGTTGAAAGAAACTGACTGCATCCAATACCAACCACCACCACTATTTGAGAGTGGTTAAAACTCAAGAACATGTAGCATGAGGATGCCTTTAAGCATCCATAATAATGCAAAGCAGGACATCTCAAATGTAGCCTCATCCATTCACTTTCAAAGTTGAAATGAAAATCTGCTTTTCTTTGTGAGTTCATAATTACATAGGTGCAAATATTTGAGAAGAACACGAAACATTAAGCAACAAGTTTCAGCTTTTAAAGGCATCTCACATTGTGGTTTGTCCAAGAAAGGTAAACCTCAATGTCTAGAGAGAGAAAAAAAGGTAAATAATCCCAAACAGCAGGTGATCTCTTGGAGGATATTTGGTTGTGCAATGTGCTTTGGTGTTGGTTTGTTTTGGTTTTCTACAGGATAAATTGCCAGAAACCTTGAGCATTCCGTTTCTGTTATCACTAGTAGAGACAAGCAAGCCATCTTTGCTGTGCCTCATTTTCTTCATTAGACCCTCCTTCTCCCCCCAAAAAGTGTGGTAACAAGTTGATAATAGATATGAATTTTGTTTGAAAGCTTTACAGGGTATTTAAAACATCTAATTGGCATGTCTTTGAGTCTATTGGGTAAAAGCAAGATAGCAGAGTTGGCAGGAGACCTGAGCCAAAGGCATCCTACCCTGGAACAGTGGCCAATTTCTAAAGGGTTACTTTACCAGAGGAAGAAACAAAGCAGAGAGTACAGGCTGTCAAGCTTAAAGGGAATTTACTGTGTACATTGTGCAAGGTTGCCATCAGCATGTCTGGAGACATTCTCAAGAAATGATCCTGGAGGGTGATGTCTCCATAGTCTCAACTGCCTTCTCTCCCTGCAGTAGACTGTGCTGTTTTCCCAGTGCAGGGAATGGATAGACCCCAGCAGTTTTCATTCCAGTAGTCAGTTTAGTGAAGATTTTTGCTTTGCTTGCTTTGTGGAATGCTTTTGTGATTGGATCTCTGCCCACTGTGCTTGATCAGGCAGAACAAGTTGGGGACTGATCACAACAGTCACCTAACAAGCTCCCTATTTACTGCAGGTGTAGCCCCTCCTCCCTTCTTCCCCCTGCTATAGAAAACTTGTTTTACAAAAAACCTCACATTTGCTGCACGGACACATTAAAGAGTGATCATTAAACTGACAAAAGGATGCTGTAGCTTGCCAAAAGATTCAATTCAGCACTTTTAAAAATTGTGAAAACACACACACACACACACACACTCACAATCACACACTCTCCTTTAAATTGTGAACACACACATACAACATGCCCCATGGCCACCATTACTGTTATAACCATATATTTGCAATACATTTTCTTTCCAAGAACAGATTTCATGATCAGCTTTTCAGGAATCTAGCAGTTTTAGTCTACAAAATACACCTGAAAATGGGTCTCAAGCCCTTTGAGCCTGCACCCCTTATAAGGATACAGGTGATATAAAGCTCCCTGTGTTCTTATGGCACTTTGAGAAAAGTCTGATTTTGATAAGTTTGTCCTTTGGTGAAAGTTTATCCATACTTTTAAATTCTCTAATATTTGTTTATGCAAAGATTTATACCCCCTCAAAAAAGTGAAATCATTCTGTTTCTGAAATGAACCCTCACTTCCCCAGAATTATCTTGATTTAATAAGTTACTGATTTATAAATAACTTCAAAGGACTTCATCGTTATTTTTGAGATTTAGCACTTTATAAATGTATTGTTTACTGAGAAAAATGCCAACTTTAAGTGACTATAGTTGTATCTCACTGGGAAGATAAAGGGAGAAGAGTGAATGAGGAAGCACTTTGGGACACTAAAGCATTTGACAATTCTAAGGGGTTTTTAATGGTGTTATTGGATTAACACTGAGGTGAAGTTTCAACAGTTTGAAATTACTGATTTAATTTCTTGCAAGAAGATTGGCCCTGAAGTGATTCATGCACATAATTTCCTGAGGTATATAGAGAGAACTGGGGAGAAATGTGGAAAACCCTTTGCAGAGAATGAATTTAGTTACTAGTTTGTTGTAAATTGCTCTGATAAACTATTGTCCATGGATTGTTAGGAACAGGCTGAGTGGTTCTCATCACATTGGGTTTTGTTGGTTTGTTGTTTAGTCTGTTTTTATTTGGTTTTTTTTTTACTACAAAGCTTTGGAATAATTTCCACTAATCTAGCTCTCACCTTCCTGCCATTAGAAAGGGAGAGGTGGGTGAGGGAAAGGTCATGTTAGGAAACAAAATGCTTTGACAGAAGAACACTGTTTATCAGAAGATGGGCATTTGAGACTGTATTTTGAATTTATGGAAAATGCATGTACAGCAGAATCTGACATAATAACATACAGCTATTTTTGTTACTGTCAGTGCATTTAAAACCACACAGCTAAAATTTTTCTGTCCTCAAAATCCCACTTTTCAATTGGATTCTTTCAATGTAATTTTCATGGTCTGTTCTTAATGATTGGAACTCTATTCTTTTCCTCCACTTTATATTTGTTGCATACAAAATTTGTATTGTGTATCATTCATGTACATTGTGTTTCACACATACCTATATTCACATTGTTTCAGACACTCATGTATTTATATTTTAAGAGACATGAGTCTTTAAGGCAGTAAAACAGCTTTTCTGATCTAGTACCAAAATAATATGTCATTTACCTACATATGAGCAAATACTTTAAGGACAATTGTTTAAGTCAATTAGAAGCAAAGATTTAGAGCCCAGACTTGAACTTTTTAAAAATGAAGTAATTTTAAAATATTGAGGATCCGAGACCACATTTAAAAGACGTGGACTAGAGATACTAGAAATGAAGATAATATAGTCTCTTATGTAGTTGAGCCTGGCTTTTGGCCCATGCATAAACTTTTGCTTCTTTATCTAATGTGAAAGTCAGTTTGAAACAACTCCAGGTGTTCTGAGTGAAACCCCCACTGATTTTACCTTCAGAAGAGAAGAGGATGAACAGGGCAGCTCTTAGAAAGGGTGAGAGAAACGGATCAGCCAAGTTAATTAATGTCATGATGGCTTTTGTGGTTTAAGAAATATAAAACCCCTATAATTTTTAACTTATTTGTAGACAATGTTATACACATGAAGGCAGTACTGTGTATGCTTTAAATCAGTATACTACAGACAAAATTTGTTACTAGAAATTGTTGATGGCAACCTGTTTTCATTGTATTATGTTTACATGTTATAAACTACTAGATGAAAAACTCCTTATAGCAGAAATTCCTTTTGTTTGTTAGGCCACTTATTTTAGTCAGCTTCCAACCCTTCAAAATATGACAGCCCTTCGGAGTAAGGACCTTTTGACCTATATAAATTACAGAAAAGATCTCAAAGTTAACAAAATTTGTTTGTAATCATGATCCATTTGCATTCATGATATTTTTTAAGCATGGTGCTTTCAGGGTAGAAACTTTCTCTGCCACTAGCCAAAACATCTACTTTAAACAAGGAACAATCTCTGAAGCATCCAGAATGTCACACATGCATAAAAACTCCAAGGAGATCTGCCACCGTTCCTCTACCTAACTGCTACACATGGATTAACATATTTCAGAGTTGTTATTATTGTCAGGGAGCTGTTTGGGAATCAACTCAGACCTCTTAAGAAGGTCCTTCTCTAAAATTCCTGGTTGAAATTAGTGTGGGTAGCCAGTGTGGAAAGAGTATGCATGATTTTCCAAAGACTGCTAATTTATTCAACGAGAGAATGCTTTCCAGTTGTATAATGAATGCTTTTCAGTTTGCAAAATACCTTTACTTTTTAAAAATGTTTTATTTTACTGTTGGTCAGTAGGTACTGACCCATGTTAGCAGGTGAGGAACTGAAATTGGTGCTCAGAATTTGGCCTGAGGTCAGAAAGGTAAGTAGCAAAGCAGAAGATCCCACTCACACATCTGATTTCAATCCAGTCATTCACCCAGCATGCCATGTAGCCTTGTAAGCAGGTGTTTAATCTGGGCTTCTCCCCTCTCCCTTTATTGATAAAAGATTGTTATATTGGCCAAGACATAGAAGAAAATGTAAAATTTCCTTTCATTTGATAGTAGCAAATATTGTAAGTAAGTTATTCAGAATGTTATTTACCACTATGGACCATCTCCCAAGGTGTAGGCAATTTTCATTACAGTCACCTGTTTGCTCTGGCTTTTATTAGAATACAATGGGTTCACCTGTGCTGGAAACAAATATTTTAAATATCTTCTGGGCAGGAGTTAATCAGTCTTTACCTCCTAAACATGGTGTATATGTCTATCTGGATCCCAAAAAAACCATTTAAAGGTAAGAAAAGTAAAATCAGTTAATGATCCTTAACAGAAGTTAGATTTCCTTAGTTTTCCTGATACTCCAGTGACATATGCAAGTTCTAGGGGGATAAAAGGGACCTTTTAATGTCTTATGCATAAAATAGCTATATTCTAAAACATCACAGTGGGGGAAATAGAATCAAGTAGGACAGGTGGATGGAAAAGGGCTGCAGAAATAGATGCTCTTCATTTCTTTAAAAAATAAACTTGCTTTTGGCAGTCAGGCAAGGAGCTTTGAGAAGGCTTGAAAAATCAAATCCACTCCTTAAGACATAAAAATCCTCATTTAAAATGAAATTCATTTGGTTTAGCACCTTTTTAGTGCTTTAAGACGATATAAAAATAGCCCAGACATTTCATTGGCAGTATTGGAAAATAGCTTTTGTAAAATGCTTAATTAAAGCCTGCAGTATGTTGTGTCTGGGAGGTGCTGCCGGCCTCTTAGATGGGAAAGATA